ACCCTTTTGTGATCAACAATTCGTGGGTGGAAAAATTTACAAATTTGAAATATCTAGCGACTATTGCGAAACACGTGATGAGTAGAATTCATTAATGGTCTGTTTGGTAACACGAATTTGAAACAATGTATTTGAATTTGAAGGGTTAAAATTTAATGTCACTATTTATTTTTACATAAATAAAAAGTAATTGAATTTGAGTGAAATACATGTATTTTAACAGTGTAATTCCCAAGAGTAAAATACGTGTATTTCAATTTCACCCTATAACTCTTGAATTTCAATTTTGAATTGAATTTGGTCTGCCCTCTCTCTTCTCATCGACAGCAATGAGAAGTGCGCTTCCCCCCTCTCCCAAAATTCCTTAGAATCTCACTGTTGTTCCCTGAGATGGCTCGTACTAAGCAAACAGCCAGGAAGTCAACCGGAGGCAAGGCGCCGAGGAAGCAGCTTGCCGCCAAGGCTGCTCGTAAATCAGCACCGGCCACCGAAGGAGTGAAGAAGCCTCACCGTTTCAGGCCGGGAACTGTGGCTCTGAGAGAGATCAGGAAGTATCAAAAGAGTACTGAGCTCTTGATCTGAAAGCTTCCGTTCCAGAGCCTTGTGCGAGAGATCGCTTAGGATTTCAAGACCGATCTCAGGTTCCAGAGCAGTGCAGTCGCTGCTCTCTAGGAAATATTAAGGGATAATTATAAGTTGTCCCTCAACTTAGTTCTTGTTTTCAATTTTTTCCTAATATTTTTATTCGTGCTAATTAAGACCTTATTGTTGGCAATTTATGTTATATATTATTCCCAATTAAGGTTAAAGTTCTCAATAAAAGTCATCTAAATACTTGGTTTCCCTATGTTTGACTAGTTTACTGTTGATGATGTTTGATGCAAGATTTATTCTTTTTCAACTTTCAACCTTAACTCAATGGTTTACTTTGAAGTCTTCAACAAAGAATATCATATTTCTATTTGATTTTGCAATTAAGGAATGTTATCTTAACTACCTTGTTAATGAATATAGTTGTTTGAAGTCTTCAACGAAAAATGTCATATTTCTATTTCGTTTTGCAATTAAAGAGTGTTACCTCAACTACCTTGTTAATGGATATAGTTGATAATAATTTTAGATACGATTTTTGTTTTTTATTTTTTATAGTGAAATTCTTTCATAATAAATTCATCTTTGCAAAAATTGAATATTGTATAACAATGAAAAAATGAACAGAAAATGGAGAATATAATGACAAATTGATCAGTG